ATTTACTGCTGCATTAAATTTTTTCATGTAAAAATACTGAAATATTTTCCAGCTGTGTGATATATCATTTCATAATTCATGTAGAAACAGCAACAGTGACACCTTATAATGGGGCTACTAATGCAATGTAATCCAGCAGATGACAGAAGTTCAAAAATGGTGGCTTTTTTGTCAGCTCTTTTGTCTTAATTACTATCAGTGATTGTGAAAATGTGAATAAACTGTTAATTCCCAGAGAAAGAAAAGCACTGGTAATGTGCTATTTACAAACTATAGTTAAATTAAAATTGCTGTTTGTGACAAAAACTACAAGACAAAACAGCACCCCACACAATGGGAAAAGATATTCACCAACCCCACATCAGAGGGCTGATTTTCAAAATATACAAAGAAATCAAGAAGTTAGTCACCAAAACACCAAAGGATCCAATTAAAAAGTGGGGGTACACCCATGGAGGGCCTCACCCTCCCTGGGGGAATGAGGGGATAACGGGGGGGGGATGGGGGGAGGGCACAGGAGGAGGGGAGGGAAAGGGAGAGGGACCTCGTACTGACTTGTGAAGCAACCTTGTTTCTTATCTAAATTTAAAATGGAAAAAAAATATTAATAAAAAGAAAAAGAAAAGAAAAAAAAGAAGTATTTCCCCAGTAGAAAAAAAAATATATAATAAATAATAATAAAAATTAAAAAAAAAGTGGGGGTACAGAACTACATAGAGAATTCCCAATAGAGGAATCTAAAATGACTGAAAGACATATAAAAAAGTATTTAACATTCTTAGTCATTAGGGAAATGCCAATCAAGACAACTCTGACATATCATCTTATTCCTGTCAGAATAACTAAAATCAAAAACACCATTGACAGTTTATGCTCGAGAGGATGCGGAGAAAAGGGAACACTACTCCACTGTGGTAGGAGTGCAAACTCATACAGCCACTTTGAAAATCAGTACAGAGGTTCCTCAGGAAAATGAAAAACAGTCTTACCACAAGATCCAGCAATTCCACTTTTAGGCACACACCCAAAAGTTGCACATTCATACAATAAGGGCATCCATTCATCCATGTTCATAGCAACAATATTTGTAATAGCCAGAATATGAAAGCAACCTAGATGGCCCTCAACAGAAGAATGGATGAAGAAAATGTAGTACATTTGCACAATGGAGTACTACTCAGCTGAAAAGAACAATGGATTCATGAAATTCACAGGCAAATGGATGGAAGTAGAAGAAATCATACTGAGTGAGGTGACCCAGTCACAAACAGATAAACATGGTATTTTAAACATAGAGCAAAGGAATACTAGCCTACAATCCTCAACTCCAGAGAAGCTAGGAAAACAAGGAGGACCCTAAGAGAGACATACAGGGTACTCCAGAGAAGGGGAAAAGGACAAGATCTCCTGAGCAAATTGGGAACATGGGGAAGGGAACAGAGAGTTAGGAGAAAGAGAAGGGGAGAAGAGGAGGGGAGAGGAGGACATGAGGGAGCAGGAAGATCCAGTCAGGGGAAGAATAAAGGAGAACAAGAAAAGAGATACCATAATAGAGGGAACCATTACAGGTTTAAAGAGAAATCTGGCACTAGGGAAATGTCCAGAGAACTACAAGGATGACCCCAACTAACAATCTAAGCATTAGTGGAGAGGCTACCTTAAATGCCCCTCTCTGAAAATGAGATTGATGACTACTTTATATGCCATCATAGAGCCTTCATCTAGTAACTGATAGAAGCAGACACCCATAGCTAAACACTGAGCTGAGCTCCCGGAATCCAGTTGCAAAGAGGGAGGAGTGATGAGCAAAGGGGTCAAGATCAGGCTGGAGAAACCCACAGAAAGAGCTGACCTGAACAAGCGGGAACTCATGGAACCCAGACTGATAGCTGAGAAACCAGCATAGGACTGTTCCAGAACCCTGAGCGTGGATGTCAATTTCGAGGTCTGGTTAATCTATGGGGCCTCTGGTAGTGGATCACTATTTATCCCTAGTACATGAATGGAATTTGGGAGCCCACTCCACATAGAGGGATTCTCTCTCAGTCTAGACACATGGGGGAGGGTCTAGGCCCTGCTCCAAATGATATGACAGACTTTGAAAATTCCCCATAGAAGGTCTCAGCCTCCCTAGGGAGTAGAAAGGGGATAGGATAGGGAGTCTGTGGGGGGCATGGAAGGAGGTGAGGGAAAAGGAACTGGGATTGTCATGTACAACAACCTTGTTTCTAATTTAAATTTAAAAAGGAAAAAAAACCTTAATGTTTTGAACAAAATTTCTCAAAATAGCTAGCTAGTAGTTCAAGAACTATTCTACCAGTGGAAAAACTTGAAATAAGATGTTGAATGTTGCCAAACATACCATGTTACAGTAGATGGAAACAAGAGGAGAAAACTGAAGATTAGTCTGAATGATGAGAAGCTATGACAATGTGACACCATCCTTCCTGTTCTGCATGTGTAAATTTGTTGGTGATCTGATCAGATTGTATGAATTTCCCCAGTTCCATCTTTGTCTTAAAAAAAAAAGCACCTGAGACATCAGTGTTGTTTGTTTTCCTCCAGGATCAGCCATTTGGAGAGAGTATGTGGGATCAACCACATGGAAGTCAGCCAACTGGTAGACCTTACCTAGCACAGCATTGCTAGCTTATACAACTTGACCCCAGTACCCTTCCTTTATCTTAGCACATTTTTCTTTATGCATCACCTCCATAATGCTGACTATTCAGCATGAAAAAAAATCACAGAATTGGATAAACTTCACTTTGTTCTCTTTCAGTGGATCTCACATTGATCTTTCCAAGGAAAATCAGTTGAACTATTGATGAAAATACCATTGCAGGAGCAAGTATAATTGCAGCTACCAGTGCCATCTTGGTTGCTTACTACTAGTTTTAGGGCAAAAAAAACCTCATGTGGCAGTGAGGAAATATGTGTCCTGTTTATATCATGGCTTACAGGGGTATAATCTAACCCAGGACCTCAAGTATCCTAAGCAAGCATGCTAGCACTGAACCACATTCCCAGGGTTATCCTTGGTGAATGCTCAGTATAGTATCTACCTGTAAACATTGGCCTTTGACCATCATGACCTAAGACCTCATCCCCTAGTTGTTGATACCCATCAGTGCCATTTTCCTGCCACACAGGGCACATCTGACATTCCTCTTCTAACATTTGATACTCGTTTTATTATATGATGGATAGAGAACCTGAAGAATTTTTTGTCAAAGAGCAAGCCTCTCTAACTGAGTGTGTGGTGGTTCATTCCCAGTATTCTGGGAGCAGAAGCATAAGGATCAGGAGTGGCAGCCCAGTCTAGAATAAAGAATAAGAACCTATCTTTTTAAAAACTAAAAGAAAACAGGAGCCTAGGGAGACAACTCAGTGTGTAAAATACTCATTGACACATTGTGCAACTAATAGGACCTGAGTTCTGATCCCAGTACCAACATAAAGCTGGGCATGGCAATGCAGGCTTGCAGCCTTCATTCTGGGGGACAGAGACAGATAGATCCCTAGGGCCCATTCATTGGCCAAGTAGTCTAATTCAAAATGGAAAGTTCCAGAGTCAGTGAGAGACCCTGTTTCAAAAATAATAAAATGATTGATAAAGACATTCTCAAAAAAAAAAAGTGGGGCATTGGTAGCACACATCTTTAATCCCAGCACTCGGGAGGTAGAGGCAAATGGATCTCTGTGAGTTTGAGGCCAGGCCAGCCTGGTATACAGAGCAAGTTAAAGGACAGCCTCTGAAACAATACAGAGAAACCCTGGTTTGAAAAACAAAACAAAACAAAACAAAAAGAACATTCTCAAATCACATCAACCTCTGGCCTCTACATGTTTCTACATATGTAAGCACATTCAGACACATACATGCATGCAAACGCATGCACACACATTGCAAAGAAAAAGAAGCAATGACTATATCTATTAAAAAATAAAGATTCTCAGAGGCATATATCCTCCCCCTCAGATCTGCAGACTCAGAATTATTAGGGCTGAGATACACGCTCTCCCGGGGCCTACAGGCATCAATTTGGGATCCACTGGGCTATGTCTTTCTTCTTAGATACAAAGAGTCCTTAACAAAGGCTCTCTGGACACAATATCCTGACCCCTGGTGGTCTAACCCCAAAGTGTAACTCACACACATGGATTAAAGTAAACAAATTTTGCTGGACATTTGACTGTTAGATGTCCCTGGCTGCTCTCTGAGCATCTCAGTCAGGCCTGTCTCACAGAGAGCATCTAAAAGCAGAGAATTCACTGACTTGTTTTTGAGCATCCACAAAATGTGATAACCTGTCATTTAAAATGTTTGACTATCCTCTGCAGATGATACAGAAGTAAAAAGGCCAGAAGAGCTGGTCCAATTTCCCCAAATACACACACACACACACACACACACACACACACACACACACACACACACAGGAATGCATACAAGTGCACGCACACATACACATGAATGCACATGCTTACACACACACCTATATATCCATGTGCACATAAGCACACAGAGTAAATTCCCACTAGCTGCCTTGTCATTGTGTTTGAGTTCTAGTGTTCAGTCAGTTTTAACTTGACTCCTCACCAGCTATCTAGACCAGCCTCTTATCTTTACCCTTCTTGCTGTGATGACACACTCTCATATTCATTAAACGCTTCTCACCGTGATAAAAAACTAACTACATGTCAGAAGCTCGGCATTTCCCCTAACACAAGACATACCCACCAGAAAATCTACTGACCATATGCTATTTTATGTATGCATATGTGTATATATGTTCATAAATATAAACAAATCTTCAAGCAAAGCAGAGAAGTCCAAAATATTTAGAAAAGAAGCCCCAAAAGAGCGAGTCACCTTACACACTAAGAACAGCAATAGTTTATTTATTTTAATATACAACACTTCATTAAAGTGTGTTCAATTTCTCCTCTGCATCAAGTCAAGTAGAGTAATGCCCACTTTTCCCACTCCGACTTACCATAGGACTGTAGTGGGCATATGTCAGTAAGAACACCCCCTGCTCTCCAAGCCAGAGCAAATGAAGCCTCATCTACTCCATTCGCAGGAGTTCACCGCCCCCTGAAATGCCAGGAGACATTTAAAAGAGAGAATAGGATACAGAGTCTGGCCCTAGATTATTCTACCCACTTCCATTTTCCTAAAGGATATATCATTTATTTCTTTCAAGACAGGGACTAGCATCATAAATAGACAGAAAAAAATAAATGTAAAATTCAATGTTGCTTTTGTGTCCCCAACCCTGTCGAAATGAGAAATTCATTCCCTAAAGGATCAAGGGGAGAGAGAAAGCGTTTCTTATCTGGAGGCCCTCCCAAACAGATGTTTTTCTTGTGGCTTTCTTTCATGTGGACTGTGAGCCTTTAGAACTCCAAAAGTGCCTATTATCCTCTAACTACAAATTTCACTCCACTTGTTTTTGTTTTCAGGTATATAATGAATGCATTTCAACTAGAAGGAAGTTTGTCTATAATTTTTATTTTAAAATCTAAAGAACTACTTATAGTTAACTTTGCAGCATTTAGTAAAAAACAGACTTACCTGAGTTTTTCTTTGAAGCAGAGCAGGCATCATTTTTTTTGGTGATCTGTTGCTTTAACAGAATACCATGTTCATTTTTGCCCACATGACATTCATTTCCAGTCCCTAGAAACAGTTTTGAGAGAGCAAATGCGCCACATGGACAGCAGCTACGGTATAAATATGTATTATGGAAAATTTCCACCCACACAGAGAACCTCGCGGGCTGCGTTAGAAAACAAGTTGCCTCAATGCAGAAAATAGGCGTTGTTGTTGCCTTTAAAGCAAGCTCTTCCGTGGGGAGCCGTTCTATTTATCTGCAGCCTGCAACTGTATTGCTTTGAAAGCTTTATTGTGTTATTAGCTGAAAGTTAATATGTCACAACTTCCAAACTAAAAACCTCTGTTGTTTGAATTTACTCTGATGGCCATCTGTTCTCCATAGAAACCATAGCCTTGTTCTTCAAGCCACATTTCACCTTTTTGATTGTCACATTCTTAAACCTAAAAACAGTGTGTTTGGAGACAGTGACAAACAGGTTAGAAACCATGTTTGCTTTAGTCGACCAAGTTTAGTAGACTTGAACACTGCTGTTTGCAACCATGAAACTTGAAGAAGAAAAACTACAAGGAAAGAAATTATAACAGATGTAAGTCTTGTTCATATAAAAGAAATCTATTTTATGAGAATCTTATAACAGAAGTGAAAGACAGACATTAGTCAAGGAATATATATAATTCACTTCAAATCCACAGAGGTGACATTAGTGTGTTCTGTCTCTGTACCTCTGTTACCTTCTGCCCATCTGGACTGGGCTTGATGCTGCCTCATTGAAGAGTGTGCTTACAGTAGCTTCCCCCTAACTGAACGTGCTTCTGTACCCCCTTAACACCAGTGCCTCTAAGAATCATTCATAAATACCCTATTTTCCCTTCTCTAGACTTTCCCCAGAGTCCTTAAAGTAATCTGTCGAAGGTTTGTTCCATTCCCACATGTCCCTGTGTACCTACCTGTGCTGGAGCAGGCTAGTGGAGACAGGAAAGACTGGGTTAATGTGAGAGCCCAGCCTTGCATAGAGGGACGGCACAGCCCTGGCAGCTGGAGGATGGAAACGGGAGGAATTCGTGTACCTTGGCAAGTATGATACAGTGCCAACGAAAACATTTTTTTCCAAGAAGTTCAAAGCACTTTGTAACCATTAACCCATGAGGCTAAGTAGTCATGAAGTACCTGTTACTTGAATACACCCTTAAGATAACAACTGCCAGCGAAATCGTTAAAAGGGCCACTGTGTTGTTTCCTTATTTCTAAATATTTACTGAGCATTTAATGTGTTCAGGGCACTGGGGGAAAATGGACTCCTCGAGGCTTTCACATAGCTCCTGGTTCTTTTGCTTGTCTTCATGAGGCCCAAGATACAACTACTCACTACACTTGCTTCCATTTCGGTCAAGTTGTTTAAGGCAATGAGCTCCACTCTTTTGAATGTGCTTAGCGTGCTAAGTGCTGAGTGCTGAGAAAGTGTGAGAGAAAAGTATTTAAATTGTCTGTACATGTCGTTACACCTGGAGAAATTGTAGAAATGTAGTCAGAGCGCTTCCTTTCAAGAAGCCATAAACAAAGGTTTAGTATAGATAATCTTAGTCTCTGTCGTGCTTGTAGGATTGCTATAGAAGACAAGAAGAAGTAAAGTTGCCGTTACTACGCTGAGCTGTTTATATAACTAATCTATATTTCTGTTGAACTCGATGAGACAACATGACTGGTAAAGCACAGCCTTGTCCTCGGGACTTTCCCAGCTCTTTTATGCCATAAAACGGCAAGCCACATATAGAAAATGATTGAGATAATTTCTAAATCTTCCTCGGACAATGAACTGCACATAGAGTATATGGATATGTGAGATGAACAGATAAAGGGGACTGGTGGTTCCTTTTTAGAATACATGACTTTCTAACGAATGAAAAGGGATTCACCCTGCTGTCTTCTACTGACTGACACAAGACTGGGATTCTCCTGCATTTAGGGAGTCAACAGCACAGCTCAGTTATCAGCACTCAAAGAGGCTAGTTGAAACGTAGAAGTACTTTAAAAGTCAAAAGATAGTGAAATACCATTTACAAGTGTTTTTCTCCCTTATAAGTACTTTCATGACTAGATAACATACCATGCAAATAAAAATATCCATCTGTCATTTAAGATCACACACACACACACACACACACACACACACACACACTCACTTTGTTGACATAGAAACCAGCATTCTTGAAGTTCAATTGACATACCAAAAGGAATTTGAAAACAAATGCTGGTCAGGAAGAGGAGAGAGGGGAACTCTTCGGCACAGTTAGTGGGAATGTAAATTTGTACAACTATTGTGGAAAATGTTATAGAACTTCCTCAGAAAAGGCAGAAATAGAACTCTTGCATGACCCAGCAATCGTACTACTGGTTATATATCCAAAGAAAATAAGGAAATGAAATCAGCCTACCAAGGAGCCAAGAAATGGAATCAGCCACGGTTGCCACCAACAGATGAATGAATAAAGAAAGTGTGGTGTGTACACACAATGAAGTGCTATTCAACAGCAACCAAAAGAACAAAGCTCTGCCATTTGCAAAAGCACTGGTGAAACCAGGGGACATTGTATTAAGGGGAATAAGTCAGAGATAGATGATAAGTATATTCTTACCTATGTGTAAAAGCTCAAATGGATCTGAAAGAAGAAAGAGAAATATCAGTGGGTGCTAGAGCCTGGAAATTGGAATGAACCTGGGAGAGGCAGGAGGTGAATGGGTAGAGAGGTTCAGTTGTACAAGGGGAGTAATTTCTAACATTCGATAGCACAGAAGGGAAACTGGTTGATGACATCTGATTGCATCATTCAGAATACTGAATGGAAAGGATTTGGAATGTTGCCAACCCAGAGAAATAGTAAATGAGTAGATGAACATGTCAGTTATTCCAAACAGATCATTAAACATTAAAAGATATATTAAAATTCTGCACTACATTTCATAAATATATGTTCTGCATAACTACATGTATACATACATACATTAGAATTAGTAAAAGGACAGAATTCAGAAAAAGAGACATGAGGCACCTTATGCTTATTTCCTTCCTAATTCCCTTATCATCAGCCTATTGCATATTTATTTATGTAGTCAGATGCCTACCTGAAGGCTCATTATTTCACGGGTTGAGATCATATCATTTCTCTGTGTCTTCAGCAACTACCCTCAAAACTTTGTTGACCTTGGACTTTCGATATACCACTTGCTGATGCTGGCAAGGTGATCAATTGTACTTATTCTTCAGCTGGACGTTCAGGTAGGATTTTAAGAGATCTTTTATTAATCAGAGATGCTAATGAAGATAACAAACTCAACTAAACAGATTAAGTTACAAACAGATCTGCTGCTATTATCAAAGAATGACTACATTAATATTGTCATCGCAGCCAGTTGCTCACCACCCCTAAGGTGGCCATCAGCTCAAGATCTGGGCCATCTGCTATCATTATAACAACAGCACTGAAGAAAACACACCTGTGGAGCTGGTATGGGAAAGTGAGGAACAGCTACATGGCCCACGGCACTGGGAGTGCCAGCTGAAACCACTTCTTTCTGGATTTAAAGTAAAAAGGAGAACAGAGAGATAGCCCAAGAAGGATCAAGAAGAAAGAGAAAAAGAAAAGCCTTGGAAGAGACTGGCTGCTGTGCAAGACGACTCTTTGAATTAATTTCACCGATTTTTAATAAAAGTGAGAAGTAGAGATGTGTGTATATATTGTACAGGACAACATGGTAGGTGGTGGTTGATCAACACCAAATAGCAAGGCTTTCTGTCGCCTCAACCATCTCCAAAAAGTTATTTTTAGGGCATTCTGCTTTCTTTCTACATGTTTAGAAAGAGTTATTTTGTTCTCTAGACTTACATTAGTATCTGAGTCTCTGTTTTACCCAAACTGAATTTCAGGATACCACTAATTCAACAATGTTGTTAACATGGAGCACGTAGCTCCCTGTGTGAACTGTACGTCATAGGTGTGCTACAATTAAACGCCACACTTGTCTTGAGCATGGAGCAATGTGAAGATGCTTTGTGTGGCCCCAAGCAGCCTTTTAATGCAGCTCCACCTCTTACTCTAAGCCCAAGAGACCTTTAGCACCTGGAATCAACCCAGGCTCTCCTGAGATTGTCCCTATTGTATCACTGTGTGACTACTTGAAAAACTATTAGTGATTCAGTTTGGATTGTTTACATTTCCTTGGAAATGATGGCATAGAGCATTTATTATGCTTGGGGGTGCATTTGATGCACAGATATGTTTGTCTCAGATACCTTGAAATCCCCTGACAATGAAGACATCCCAGAAGGAATGTATCCCCTGCTTAATTAAAACCTCATCAGCATGCAAGCAAATATTTATTTTCAAATAAACCCAAATGCTTCCAGCCTTAATTAATTCTTTATAAGGCAATGCAGACTCATTTTTTTTCTGGCCAGATCCAGCAGAGGGCAGGATGCTCCCACCAAGGGCCAGCTGGCTACAGCCTCATTCGGAACACTGCAACTCTAGCAGAGGAGAGAGCATTGTCCTGGTGTCAGAGCAGTACAGTCCTTGATTTCTTAGGGGAATCTGAGTCGTTTTATCACCAACTGGCAAGCAGAAGTCATGGGTCGTGGCTGGGAGATGTGAGGAGGTTTTCTTCAGAGCATGTTCACATTCTGTTTGGGAATCTGATCTTTAAGAAACTGAAAGGTAGCCAATTCCAGTCTTGTTACAGAAGGTACTTAGAGAACCAGTTTAGGAGATTCTGACTCGATGTTGTCTCCATCACACTTCAGTTACTGTAGTCACATGTCCTGTATGGATCCCAGCACCTACCCTAGGGTCACTATCCCTCTGTCCTTGGAAACCTTTCACAGCTTCTCACTATGTGGCTTCCTGTTTGTTGTCCTTGCATAACCCCCTTGGATAGGACATGTGCTCCATTAACTTAAATTCCCCTCTCTCGCCAAGCACAACTCAGGTGTGAAGACACATGTGGAGGTCCTGTCCCATATTTGTGATGTAAACCACTAAGTGGGAGCTTTGTGGCAGGCCTTGAGTATCACGATGTAATTGCCATTTCTTCTAGGCTAGATACATTCAAAATACAAGACAGCAAAGAGGCAAAATCATGAGCTAGAAAACAGTACTACAAAAGTTTCCTGGGTAGGGTGGTGGCTGGGGAGGACTAGGTAGTTGGA